TTCCCGTCTCCTCCCCGCAGCCGCATGGAAGGGGAGGGCAGCCCAGCCGTAACCCTCTCGGCGCCGGCGCCGCCTTCGCGCTCCTAGGGACGGAGAAAGAAAAGCAGAATCCCCCATTTTCCATCCCGCTCCGATCCCACCCCGTCTGCGCCCCGGTTACCGGCCGCGCCGAGGGGCTCCGCGCGGCTCTCGCGATAACAACAACCACAGTCATCATCATCATCGTCAAAATAATATATTTTTTTAAATATATATAAAAGGCCGCAATACATATAACGATAACGGCGGCGCGGGCACGGGGCGGCGCGGCCGCTTCCAGCCCTGCCGGGGAGCCGGGGCTGCCACCAGCGAGGCCGCGAGGCCGGTCCCCGTTTAAAGAAAGCAACTTTCCCGGGGCAGGGGGGGCGGGGAGAAGGAGCCGAGGCGGGGGTGGCACCGGCACTCTGTGCGGAGCAACGACCGGAGGCGGCGGGGATGGGCGGGCGGCGGGGTCCGGGCTTAGCAGGGGGAGGGGGGCTTACGCATGGCCACCTCTATGAACGGGGAAAGAGGGGGCTGCTGGCAAGGGAGGGGGGTACAAAGAAGGGGGGCAGAGCTAGGATACCCCCACACACACCCGTGCCCGCCGCCCCGCGCGGGAGCCCCCCCCCCCCCGTGTCCGCGCGGCCGCCTCCCCCGTGTCCGCGCTCCTACCGCGGGAGCCGCCGCTGCGCTGAGAGCCGCGCAGCCAACGAGGCCGGAGCGGGAGGGGGGGACGAGAGGGCCCCGTCCCCCCCCGCTCGAGGTGGCCGCCCGTCCCGCCCGCTCCCTCCCCTCTGATCATGTTGACATATTCACACGGCACCGCGCGCGAGGGATGCTGCGCTGCAGCGTTACAGTTTCCGACACCTTCTTTTTATAACTCGGCTCTGTCCCCCTTCCACTCGACCTGTCAAAACCACGCCTATGGAGCCACACAATTGGTCCGAAAGCGTCAAAGAGCCAATCAAGGAGGCTGCAGCTCCCCTGCAACCCACAACACAGCCCTACAATCCGGTGCACGCAGGGCAGAGGCTCACAGGGATCCTCCGAGCTCGCAGGCTCTTGCTCTCCCTCTTTCTTTTTCTCTCTTTCCCTCTTTCTTCTTCCTCCCTCCCCCTCCCCTTTTCTCTCTTTCCCTTCTTTCTCCCTCTTCTCCTTTCGCTGCTGCTGCCTTGCTGGAAAACGGAGGCGAGAGGCTGATTCTTGCTTTATTTTTTTTAAGGCAGAGTGAGAGAGAGAGGGGAGGAAAAAAAAAAAGGAGGAGGAGAGTGCAAGGAAGAAGCGCTCCCGATGGCAATCAGGGCACCCTGACCCGCAGCTGCCCGCAGAGGGGGAAGGCGAGGCGGAAACGCGATTTCCCTGCAAGTTTCAGCTGCCGCCGCTGCCCGGAGCCTTCGGAGGAGCCTCTCTCGATCGGCCCGGGCCGGGGGGACTGGGCTTGAGCGGCTCCTCTCGCCTCTGCCTCCCCTCCCGGGCTCGGCTCTGCCCGCACGGCAGGAAGGTGGAGGGCGGCGGGGGCGGCGGGGGCCGACACAGCCGCCCCGCAAGAAAAACCCGCCGCGAGCCGCCACCCTCCGCGTCCCAGGAAGAGCGGGGGGCTTGAGAGCCCGGCAAGGAGGAAGAAGAGGAAAAAAAAAAAAAAAAGGACCTCGCTTGGCTCAGCCCCTGTGCGGCGCCGGGAGACACCGCCGAGCTTTGGATTTTTGTGTGTGGGGTTTTTTTTTCCACCTTCTTTTCTTTTCCGGCATTTCTTTCCAATCTCGAGGACTTCTATACGGGGAGAGGAAAAAAAATCAAAAAGACTCACAGAAAGACAGAACAACAAGGACAAACAAACAACAACAGCAAAAAAGAGCAAGACTGAGAATGAACAATTCTAAGCAGCTGCGCCGAGGGCTGGGGATGTGCCCCGGCTTGGGACGGTGCGAGCTCTAGGTCTGCCACCCCCCATACACTAGAGCTCGTGGCCCCCTCCACCACTTTTTTTTTTTCATTTTTGAGGGGGGACTCCTTTGTGCTCTCTCCTATTTTTTCTTTCTTTTTTTTTTTTTTTTTTTTTTTTTTTTCCTTCCCTCCCCTCCCTTCTTGGCGATGTGCTGTTAGAATCCTCTCCAGGACTACCCCCGAAGTAGGAAGCCCGAGGCGTGGAGTGAATGAATATCCCGATGAGAGATCCAGTGATCCCTGGGACAAGCATGGCTTATCACCCCTTCTTACCTCACCGGGCCCCGGACTTTGCCATGAGCGCCGTGCTGGGCCACCAACCCCCCTTCTTCCCAGCCCTGGCTTTGCCTCCCAACGGGGCTGCTGCCCTTTCCCTGCCCGGGGCTCTGGCTAAGCCCATCATGGATCAGTTAGTGGGGGCCGCAGAGACCGGTATCCCCTTTTCTTCCCTGGGCCACCAGGCAGCAGCTCATCTGAGGCCTTTAAAAACTCTGGAGCCCGAAGAAGAGGTGGAAGATGACCCGAAAGTGCATCTGGAAGCCAAAGAACTTTGGGAGCAATTCCATAAAAGAGGCACGGAGATGGTGATTACCAAATCAGGAAGGTAGGTCTGGGTTTCATGCCTTTTTCTCTCCCGCTCCTTGCCTTTCCCCTCCCCAAGTCCCTGCATCCTAACAGTCTGCTCCAAAGGAAGGCGGTTTTGCCAGGGACTTCCTCCATAAAACTTGTTTCATCTGGAATTATGCAAAGTTTCAGATAGCTGAAGATCCGGGTGTGCATCGGGCACCACATTCCCGGGAAAGACTAAACTCCTGAGCCGCGCATGGTCTCAGCTCAGGACACATGTGGAGAGGGCGCGAGGGGCCGTTCATGGTTCAGTAGCTTTAATACTTTCTGGAGAGCGCTAGGAGCAGACAGAAAATAATTTGGAGTTGCAAATGGAGCTGACCTGATTGCAACCTCACCGCATGGAGTTTTGCTTCCTGAAGGGGAAGAGGAAAGAGGGAAAAAAAAGAGAAAAACACAAAGAAGAAATATTTATAGAGGCGTATCTGTGCTGGTGAAGTAGGAGCTGGAGGAGGGCGAGATGTATTCACTTTATCAGCTGCTTCACTCGCGGCTCTGCTGCTGCGCGCTAGGCATGCATTTGTGCTGACTAACTGCATTTGGAAATGCATGCAAAAATTTGATAGAAAAGATAGCTCGGTGCTATACACATGGCGTAGCGCCTGCCTGTAATTCGGGGGGAGATTTTGCAGCCTTTCTCTCTCCTCCCCACCAGAAAAACGCGGCGTGTTTATACCCCTCTGCATGTATTTATATAACCGCCCCGTGAGAATGAATGAGTCTCCACGGTGTCCACGCTGCAATTCTGCATTTTAGGGGTTGCCCCTTTCGAAATTTCCCTTCGCTGCTAGTGCATCCGCGCTCCCAGTGACATGAAGCCAACCAAATCTTTGCACTTGGGTGTTTTTATAAAACACTGTCTTTCAAACACACCAAATCACGCGTGGGATTTGCCTGGAGAATTACCCGGGCCAGGCGCTCCTCAGGCTCCAGCCTTTCCTCCTTGTCCTGCTCCATTGCAGGGCACAGGCTCAGCAATAACCCGGGAGCAGGAAGGGCCAAAGCCTCTCACCCTTTTCACCTTTTTTTCCCCACTTTTATTTTTTATTTTCTTACTATAATTTTTCCCCCCTCTCTGCTAATTGTGGGCCAAAGTTTTGCGCAAACGCCTCGCCCGAGCACAAGGAGCCTTTACGCGCTGCAAAGTCATGTGTTTCCTTTTAAGTTGCGATTGCTGAATGCCAACCACTCGATATAATAAACAGCAAATTTGTGGTATCCTGTTGCAGTTTCGAGCTGGACTTGGGAGCAGGGCGGGATGCGGTTTTCAGGGAGCCCGGTGCACAAATACACATCGCAGCCCGGGACTCTGGAGCTCGGCGAAAGTCGCCCTCTCACCCTCCCCTACTCCATGTGGATGAAGAGGTTTAGAGAAAAGCAGAATATTTCTGTGTCGCAGCCCTGGCTGTCCGTGCCGCTTTGTTTAGTGGGGAGATGAGAGAAAAAAAAATAAAAAAAGAAAAGGAGGAAAAAAAAAAAAGAAAAGAAATAATGAGCACTCTTGGTGACCTAAATGAGGCTTTTCTGCTTAGGAATGGAATAGGGTTAGGTGCGTACTGATTTATAGGGAATACAGACCTCTCGCTGCTCCGTGTTGCCCCCGGGACAATTTTCTCTTTACTCTTAAATGTTTGGGGGAAAAATAGAAAGAAGAAGGGGGCGGGGGGGAAACTTCTTCGCTGGGCGCAGGAGGGGATCTTTTTTTTTGGGTTGTTGTTGGAGGAGGGGGGAAGTTTTGTGCTTCTGAGGACCGAAGAGATCACCGGGTAGACGCGGCCGCGAGAAGCAAGGACCGACCTACACCATAATTATTTTTGTTCCCCTTCTTGTCTTTTTCTCTCTTCCCCTCGCTCCCCCTCTCTCTCTTTTCCCCATAGGAGAATGTTTCCTCCATTTAAAGTGAGATGCACTGGACTGGATAAAAAGGCCAAGTACATTTTATTGATGGATATTGTGGCGGCTGACGATTGTAGGTACAAATTCCATAATTCCCGGTGGATGGTAGCCGGCAAAGCTGACCCTGAAATGCCAAAGAGAATGTACATCCACCCGGACAGTCCGGCCACCGGCGAACAATGGATGTCCAAAGTCGTCACTTTTCACAAGCTGAAGCTCACTAACAATATCTCTGACAAGCACGGATTTGTGAGTGGCTTTTCCGCCTTCCTTTGCCCCCTTCGCTGTCCCGGGGTTTCCGCGCTCCCGGCCGAGCCCCGCGCAGGCAGCGCAGCCGGGAGCGGAGCCGCGGCCCGGGCTGGGGCTTTGGGCTCGGGAGGACGGAATACGGGGGGAACGCGGGGCGAAATATCCTCCCCGCGCGCACCAGCGACCTCCAGCAGAGGTTTATGCTCTTCCTCTAAAGTGCTTTTGCTGAAGTCAGTATCMAAAAAATCAGCTTATCCTGCAGCTTTTCCCCAGCGTGGTCCCTGCTGCTCAAATGTGACTTTAAACATAGAATTTGAGCATAGCACAACTCGGTATTTCTTAGAGCTCTGTTCATTTTGAAGAGTTTTTAATTTTTTTAGCAAAGATGATCGCACTTTTTTTTCTAAAGCGTAGGAAAATGATATGCATATATGTATATAGGGCTTAAAGGCCTAAGTATGCAAACATTTAAATATATATTTAAATCTGGATAATGTAAAGCAAGCCGGAGTGAAAATAAACAGGAACCAAAATCAGAGGTCAAGTTGCCCATTGATGTCTATCCACTCCTCTACATTTACTGGGTGTGCAGAGATAAAAACCTCCCCTAAGAGCGAAATCAAACAAACTTGCTGATAAGTGCCGGGACGATCCCGGCCGTTCCTTTCCATTCCGGGGAAAGATCCTGCCTCGGAGCCGGGGGTGGCCGGGGCCGGGGCATCTCTAATGTGCTGAAGATTGCATTTTACTGCCTGGGATTTGATTAGGCGATGCATGTTGTTTTTGTTATTGTAGTTTCTTGGTGGTTTGTTTCTTTTTTTTTTTTCCACTTTTCACAGAAGGCCTTAAGTGAGTAGGGGCGAGCAATTAGCACGAGCAGAGGCACTACTGCTGCTGTTGCAGTTCCTGTCGCCTTTTTTTTTTTTTTTTTCTTGCTAATTTACTTATTTCACGCTGAAAGCAAAATACATTTTGTCCCGAGCCCCCAAAGTTTTCCCCGCTCGATCTCCACTGGGAAGAAATGGGATATTACCCCCCAGCCGCCTTAGACATGCAGCGCGGGGAGGGCGAGCCGGAGCTGTCACCGCTTTTCGGTGGATGCTGCGAGGCGCGTGTGCTCGGAGAGCACGTTTGGCGGGGAGGAGGAGTGAGGGGAGGCCGAAGAAAGGCAGGCAAATTAGGAGAAAGTGCCGGTGGCCGCAGCGGTCGGGGCTGCTGCTCACTCTGCCTCTGTTATCTCCCTCCCTGGCCCGCGCCCCCCTCCTCCGCAGACCATTTTAAACTCCATGCACAAGTACCAGCCCCGGTTCCACATCGTGCGAGCCAACGATATCCTCAAGCTTCCCTATAGCACGTTCAGGACCTACGTTTTCCCGGAGACGGAATTCATCGCAGTGACCGCATACCAGAATGATAAGGTAAGGAGATTAAGAAAGGATTTGTTTTACGTGTTTTGGCTTTGGGGAGAGCTTTTACTTTGCATTGTTCCCTTCGAAATCACGTCGTCCGTGTTTCCCCCCTCCATTTCCTTCCCTCTTGCCCCAAAAGCGGTGCCCTCCACGCCGTGGGGGCGCTGGGACAGGAGGTGGTGCGAACCCCGTCCCGCGGCTCCAAATTAAGCGCTGGGTGCTGAGGAAAGGAGAGGCAGGGAGGAGGGTGTCCTTTCGGATTTTTTTTTTTTTTTTTTTTGGCAAGGGAGCAGGGAGGGAAGAGGGGCAGGATTGGAGCAGGGGGGACGCTTTCGGTGTGGATTTAATCTAAGGCGCATCAGGAAAAGAATCGGATCCGTGTGTCGAAAGACAGAGGGGGGAGAGCAGTGTGGTTGGAGATTTTGTAATTCTTCCTGGCCTTTGTGCTGTTTTAGCTCCTTTAACAGCAATTGGCAATAAGGCTGGAGCGCACGTCTGGTTTCTATTATTATTATATTATGATTTTTTTTTGTATCCTGCAGTGTTTTATTATTTTTTGTGGTGGAGAAATATGCTCTGATCAGAGAGGGGTATCTCGCCGGGGTTTAGCTGGAAGGTCTAAGCGAGGCAGTGTGAGAAAGTTTGTAGCGCCGCAGCAGCCGCGTTCCCATTTCGRCCGCTTTATTGTCGCTCGCTACGAAGGTGGCTCATTGGGAACCCCGGGAAACGGGTGAATTTACGATAATTAAGTCAAATGGAAGTAAGCAAAGGAGGAAAAAAAAAGACTTTCTTTTTTGTTTTTTATTTTTCTTTCGCTCTATAAATTATAACTTCGCGGGTGAGCGGAGTGCGGGACGCTGAGTGGAAAACACACCACCCCTTTGAGAGACTCTCCTGCCCCGGATGCCCCTCGGTTAAAAAATCGATAGACAAACTGAGGGGATCCAGTCGGTTTTGCCCGGCCAGTCTTCCTCTCCTCGGGGCTGATTCGCGGTCTCCCGGCAGCTGGGCATTTTTGGAGAAAACGGTGAAAAACCGCGGGTGCGGAATAGACTTGGTGGCGGGACAGGGGTGCACAGAGTCAGTCTCGGGCGCRGAGGCCGCCTCGCTGGACGGGCAGCGAGCGCTGGATCGTTCTGATTGCCATGAAATCGCGGAGCAAGCGCCTGGGGGGGGCTGCTCATAGAGCCCTCGGCGCGATCGGGAGGGCACAAGGCAAAGCCGAGGTCACCTCGATTAAAAGTCCTGGCAGTTCTTAGCAGTGTTGGTTTTATTCATTTTTATTTTACTTTTTTTTTTTTTTTTTTTT